GTATACATTGTTCGAATTAATATTGAACTCATGAGTGTTTTTTTTTTTTTCATCACAGCCAACAGGAGTACACATTAGCAATGTTGTTTATGAAAACATGAAAGGAACATCAAGTACAGATATAGCAATAAACTTGAACTGTAGTAATTCAGTGCCATGCACTGATATAACACTGCAACATATACAGCTAACATCAGCAACTCCTAAAGGGAAAGTTACAGCATATTGTAAGAATGCTCATGGCCAACAGTATGGAATTGAACCTGATGGTCCTTGTTTAATTACATCGTAGGTCTTTGTAGGAACCTGTAAACCTTAAATTATGGATCCGTTTCTGCACATTTAGCCTCTAAATATATGAAGTAGGAGTTCTAGTTAAAATTAGATATATATATATATATATATATATATATATAGTTTTCGTTTTTTTATAGTATTTGGTTTAATATGTAAAGTTGGTACGTGGGCGGAGTCAATGACAAGATGGATGCATATATAAAGTAATTTCATTTATTGTGATTATTATAAGTCTGGTATTTTAATTACTCTCTCTATTTCTTTGTTTCAATTTTATGTATCTTAATTCAATTTTAAGTAGGCGGAATCAATGAAATTATAAAATATTTTTGTGACGAACAAAGTCGCCAGTAACAGCCTTAACCGTGCTACTTAAAATCGGCATAGTAGGTCGCCGCTAATAGGCGCGACAAGCCGGGCCAACTTTTTGGGGCGACAGTAAGGCTTTTAGTGGCTACTCTGGGCGCTACAAAAACATTTTGTCCTTTCAAAAGCAAACTCTCTTTGCCACATTCCCCTTAGCTTTATGGCATTTTTAGTTGCCCAAATACTATTCTTTTTGAGATAACTCATATTTTATTTTCTTTAAATATATATCAAAAATCAAATTCAATAAATGTTTGTTTTGAGTTCCTAATTGAAAATATTATTTATGCGCATCTATTTAATATAAGATGTTTGTTTAATATTTCTTTTCTCCAAGAAGTATAGAGTATATTGCTCTTTTTGAATCTCGGAATAAATTACTGATTTGAGAACTAAACCAATGCATGTTTTTGTTCTGTGAGCATGCATGCCGTTTTGTGATGAACTTTGGTGCAATTATGGTTAATTTGAAGTATGGGTATCATTCATAAAATTCATCGTGGAAAACTCTCTGCTTATGCCCGAGGATTAGGTTTAAATGCTTGTGTATTTTTTTTCTTATCTATTTGCTTTATGTATAATTGTATACGAGTTAACCCACGATTTTTCGCAACAGTATACATATAAAGAGAGAAAAGATATAATTTTTTCACAAAGTAGATAATTATATTTTCCCCACAGGCAATAAATCATAGTACAACAACTTATACTGCGTACTAACTATTTTTTCTTAATCAAACCAACACTCAGGTTGATGGGGAATTTACCACTACAACAACAACGATGACCCAGTAAAAAATCTCACTAGTGGGGTCTCGGGAAGGTAGTGTGTCCGCTGTAATGACCCAACCGGTCATTTTGACTTTTAGTACCTCGTTCTCCTAAATAAAACTCCCTGTATGTGCTTTTATTAATTTATGACTTGCGGGGATGGTTTGTTCGGGATTTGGAGGTGTTCGGGTTGAAATCGGAACACTTGGTTCCTTAAGTTTGCCTTAAAATGCTGTCACGACCCCAAAACCTAGCGTGTCATGATGGCGCCTATCGGTGGTACTAGGCAAGCCGACCTTCCCAAAAATACTTTCAAACTAAATATAAAAGTAATGTAAAGCTTTCCATATCAGAAATTTTTCATAAAATCAAATTTAAACTCAAATTTGGAACAAAGTGCGGAAAAACGAGTCCCAATCATCGTGGTGTCACCAAATCATGAGCGTATAAGTATTTAAAACTATTACAACCAATGTCTAAATATCAGTACAAAACGGCAAGAAAAGTTTAATAGTTTAAACTAAAATATGATGGAAAAGTTTAAATAAATAACATGCTAAATAGGTTGATTACATAGAAAAATTGAGGAATATTCTGTAATTAAGTGGAGCGGCTTGCAAATAGCACTACGGTTTTGTTAAAGTAGGGATCAAGGTACTAAACATTATTGAATTTCAATTGGGATAAAGATGGTCGGACATATTAATGATGCGTCAAATTGGATAAAGGTAATGCCAAAAAAATATATTATGTACACAATCAAATTATAGTAAATTGTCGTAATTATGGCAACTATAAATATCATGACACGTAAAATTACACTTACCGTATATAAATTCGATAGGATAGAATTTAAGTTTAACACAGTAACGGGGCAAAGAAAAAATTACACAATCCGATCACTTATAAAGTAATTATAGATAAATTTCTTTAATAAATATGAACTATTACTATGTTAAAAATGGAAACTATACCTCGATAATTATCGGAATCAAGCTAAGGAATTATAAAAAAGATTTACACAATTATAAGGTATGCTATAGGTAATCTTTACGATAAACATGCATTAACTATTTCTATGTTAAAATGGAAATATACCGTGCTATGACATGTAAAACAACACATTGATAGTTATCGGAATCGAGCTAAGGCATTATAATTTGCCTATACAAATAAACCATCCGTCTTTAACCAACATTATCATTACTCAAACCATATTATTTCACATATAATACCAAAGCTACCGAGCAAAACAGTTGTTACACTCATTCTCTCATGGCTAAACTGATTAGTTTAAGTGTGTATTTTCTTTTGTTCCCTATCTTTCTTTTGGAATTTAGGTTAAAGCTACTGTGTTCTGCCGAACTCGTAGGCAGAACTGCAGCTCCCACCCTGCTTAGCGTAACCCTATCTCAAGCTGAAAATGCTCATAAGGAGATTTTAGCTATGAATATAAGTTCATTCAATGAGTTAGGGAAGTTGGCTTGGGCTGATTGCTTAAAGCTTTATGAAGATACTTTTTATCAACTTAACAAATCCATCAACAACTCTGGTAAGACAAATGATGTTCAAACATGGCTAAGTGCAGCTATGGGTAATCATCAAATATGCTTAAATGGATTCCATGATTTTCAATTATCATCACATTTGGAGAAATTTCCCTCTGTGTTAAATGATTTCTCCGAAAACCTTTGCAACTCTCTTGCCATAAACAAAGCCACGGCTATACCTTCAGCTTCACTATCAACAAATCCCCAACTTAAGGGCCGACGTTTACTTAGGGGCGGAGTTGCATGGTCTGAAGCGGGTTCAACTGAATCTCATACTGGTAAGAAAATGTGAATCCCCTTAAACATGGGGGAAACTGTTAGTATATTGGTAAATAATGTGATTCTAAATTTCCTTTAAGTCGAAAGTTTGAATTCCAAGTGTTATATTCTTAGTTCTAACATAATTTATAAATTCCCTTATTAGGATTCCTGACTTCACCCGACAGGAAACCTTTACAGCAAGGAACTCCAATAAAGGCCGATATCGTGGTGGCTCAAGATGGTTCTGGGAATTATCACACTATTTCTGAAGCTTTAGCTGCAGTAAATAGCATGAGGAATGGCACAGGGAGATTTGTGATATATGTGAAAAGAGGTAATTATACATAATATGTGGAGATCGAGAATACTATGAATAATTTGATGTTCATTGGAGATGGGATTGATGCTACAATTATCAGTGGCAATAGAAGTAATGGTACTGGCTATTCAACTTTTGGTTCTGCAACTTTC